ACCGTGCACGATGAAGAGTCACCACCTGTTTAAATAGCTTGCACACAGCAGCTTTGTGTAACTTTGTGAACAGATATTGAAATGTCTTTAGGCTTGAAAGCTCCATGTTCTCCAGAGATAAGAGCCAGGTTGGATGTTTTTAATGTGGATTGCTTTTCCTGGTGACTTTCAGGCAAAGTCATTACCACCACCCACATGCACAATGACGGGAGATGACTTTGCTACTTTCTTTGCTAAATTTTCCTTCCTGCCAGAGTGAGCAGTAAGTGGTCATTTTATTGCTGAACCATAGGGACTCTGCGTGAGCGCAGGATGGGTGGTTGCAAAATAACAAGGAGACTATATAAACCAGCTGTATTCCATAAAACAAATTGAGCTGAAGTAATCTGGGGAGAAAAGAAATTATGAGAAACTACAGATGCAGAACAAAAAAAGTCTGCATTTCACAGTTTAATAAAATGTGCAAAAACCTTAACTTTTAATGTAAAAGAACATATTGAAAAAATAGCAGTAGGTTGATATTCCTTTGCAAAAATGTCAGCTTCTTAGATGCAACAGATACACTTAGGGATCGTGAATATGTTGCTGTTTTCAGCAACAGTCCAGGGAAAAAAAAAGAGATATTACACAATTACATTTAATTCTGTTTTTTATTGATGTAAAGCGAGATATGTTGTTGCCACATGCATAGACCTAGTAGATTTCTCAAAAATTACCTGTATGACTTGTTTTTAATGTATTACTGAATTATTTTCCCTCTTACTCCTTTTTTTAAATCAAGATAATCTTGCCCTACCTCACAGTCTTAATTGTCTTGGATGACAGCTGGTCCAGTGTTGGGAATTAACTGTGTTCCAAACAGAAAGCATGATTCATGTTTTTCCTAGTGCTTTGTCAAGCGTCTGACTTGTTGTGTTGGTTTCCAGTAGTGAAGAGAGACAGGTTATGGGTTGACCAGAGCGAGCACAGGCACTCGTGTGCTGCCCCAGCACAAACCGGGACCATAATCCCAAAGCTGCCTTTTCCCACCCTCACGCTAAGGGACACTGTTTTGGGACAGACATTGATAGTGAGAACAATGACACAGATGGATGGGAACTCATGAGAAAGATGCTGCAGGTCTTCTGAGATCTCATTTTGTGGCATGACCGTTTAGGAATTTGTTTAGAAAAATGAATAAAAAGGGCATGTCTGTGTAATAAAATGAGAGGGAAACTTTGGTGAGCTGGCAACTGGCCTGATGTCAGGAGTGAAGATTGCTGCCCTAGTGTTGGACAGGACAGGACAGAGCCCTGCATGCCACTTGTCTCATGGTTCAACCGCTGCCTCTTAGCCCAGGCCACAATAATTAGACTTTAGAGATCCTCAATATCTAACTTGTGCATAAAATTTTCATTGAAAGTAGATTCTGCATGTAGTCTCTTGGTTTCCATAATTCTGACTTCTTCAGATGTGTTCTGGCCAGCTCTACTTATTTTCTTAAGTACCCAGAAGTTTGAAAATTGAATCAAAAAATACAGACAAATCATGAAATTAAACGAGATCCGTTTTTTCTCTGTGAAATCTTAACCTTCTTTTTTACCTGTTTACACGTGCTAATCCAGTGGAACACTTTGCCTCTTAAATCAGTAGAAAGTCTTGCACTGATTTGCATGCTAAGTGGCTATCCATAGCCATTTTTCTCTAAAATTAAAAAAAACCCCGACCCTCAAATTTATTTTAGAACTAAGTCTAGTCAGATGGAAGGAGTCTACTGCAGCAGCTCATCTGCTTCTCCCAACATGTGAGGGGTATTTTCGTTGGGTTGTTGTTGGTGGTGGTTTGTTTTCCGAGATCACTTATGAGACTGTTGCTGTTTACTTCAAGCTAATGTGTAAAAACTGGGAAACTGTACAAGGATCAAGGACATAACCCTGCAAAACTTTGGGGTAGGCAATTACCTGCCGCTCAGCGGAAGCGCACAACCGCAGAGTGGGACAGGCAGAGGGATATCCAGCTGTGGTAGTGACCTTGCTGTGGGTTAATCAGCTGTCTGGGGAAAGCGAGTGCACAGCCTGTGAGGAATAGCAATGGCAAATAAAAGAAAACACAAATAAATGAAAGGTGAAATGTGCCGAGCTAACCTACTGGTCTTGCAAAATGCAGTGCACATCACCAGTTAGCTGACTTCAGCGGGAACTGAAATTTCTTGGGTCTTGTCTTCATCTGTTCGGTAGATAACAAGCTGACACATTTCTAAGACAAAAGGCTTTTAAAATGGCTTTCGTATTTTCATGCTCCACAAGGGGAAGTAATATATCTGATGTTGTACTTTTCTGGGAATGAGGTTCTACAGCCAAAGTGAAAATCTGATTCAAACAATACTTGCTTTATTGTGTGGTGTGAAAACAGCTTCATGTGCAGGGAAGCTGGATGATTGGTAATAGTTATAGTCACATTTGGCTTTTGTTAGCTCTGGAAATACTCCTCGGCTTTATATAGAACTCTGAACGTGTAAGATTTTGTGGGGAGTGGCAAGCAAGTTTCTCTTTCCAGCTCTAGCCATTTTTGTTGCTTAAAAGTATTTGCTCATTATGGTGTTCCTAGCTTTCATTATTAAAGTAAGCAAAACCTGAATTTGAGATTATTTCATCCAAGCCTATCAAAACCTGTAATTTTAAAGGTGGGGCGTGTTCCTTTCCAAATTGTGTCCTACATTCTGCAGTCTGGTATTTAAGTGATTTTTTTGGAAAGAACTTTTCTACTACTCCACCTGCTGCAATCAGATCTCTTTAAAGATTTAAAGACAAATTTACAAACTCGATTGAGCCTTCAGGATTCCTCTCTCCGTATTTTCTCCTGTATCCAGCACTAATGATGCATTCCTTGGGAAATGAGCGCGTTACGTTAGATAACTCCAGCTGCAGCGAGGCGGGTGGTTTCGGTACCCAGCTCTCGCAGCAGTTCCACACCAGCAGCTCCTCTCTGTCTGGCACGAAGCTGCAGCACTGATACATAGCCTGAGCTGTGAAAACCTGGTGATGAGCAATAAGCATTAATCACTTTCTCATTCAGTTGTTTAGGATGTTTCCATTCAGTAATCCAGATGCTGATCCTCTGCCCACCCTGCATTCAATCAGTTCTGTCCATCCTTTGTCCTCCATGCCTGCACCACCCACTGCATATTTGGGAAGAGGGGACGAGAAGGAAACCTCCTGCGATTTGTGTCTCTGGAGTTACTCTTTGTTACCAAAAGACCCTGGAATAAAACATCTTTTGTCAGAACACTGTAGCAAAGTCTGTGTTGACTAGCTTTGGGAAGAAATGGTTTCGCTTCAGCTTTTGATTCCTTCCAGAAGAGCAGGAAGAGGGAAATCACTTGATAAATATGAGGCACTGAATCCTTTAACTGTTTCTTGCAGACATTAATGAATGCGTAACAGACAGACACACCTGCCAGCGGAGAGAGCACTGCGTCAACACGATGGGCTCATTCAAATGTCTCCAGGAACTGAGCTGTCAGCCGGGTTATGAACTTAAGGATGGAGAATGTGTTGGTAAGACAAGTGTTTTTTGGCTGATGCAATTGCTGTTACCAAAAAGGAAAGGAAAGGATAAAGATTGCAAAGCATTCTATTGTTGCCGGTCTGTGATACCAGAGTGGTAACTAAAAAAGGCGGATCACAGAAATTTGGCTTCGTGAGCCCCTTCTGTACATTCATTATTTGAAATAGTTTCCAGTAGTAACTATAAATAATTTGGAAAATGGATGAAACTCTATGAATTGGGATTTACCCTGTTTTCAAGCTGTTAGAGAGAGATCTCACTGGTGGAGGAATTACACCCCTCTGACTAGCTCTGCTTTTCCCTGAAGGGGTTGATATTGTTTGCTGTTGAACACTGAATCACAGCCTGAATGGATCATGAGGCTGACTGAGCCCAGTCCTTCCTGTGTTTAGGAGGTCTGTCTGCATTTATTTACATTTGGAATGGTCATGGGGTTAAGAAGTTATTCTTCATCTCCCTCTTCTTGGTCTATGTAGAGGTCTAACTGAGAAGCTAACAGCAGTAGTAGTCACAACAGAACAGAAGTTGCTCTGCAGCACAGGAGTATGCAAGAGACACACGTGCTCTGCCTTCCAGGGCAAAAGCCAGTGTTATTTACTCCTGAATTTTTTCACAGAGTTTCCTGACAGTTGGAGCTGGAGATGCCTAAGGAAAGAATATAGCTCTTGACATAGAACATAAGGTTATAAAATAGAAATTATCAGAATTCTCACTTTAGATACAGCTGTCATAAGTAAAGCTTGGTTTACTTGCGGGGACTGTTTGCCTCATTCTGTTGTCTGATTCTGTAGCATTTCTAACACTTATTGCTAATCTAAATTGCTTTCTAATCTTAGATTTTAACAGATTATAAATTTTACTATTTGTTTTAGAGTAGATTTTAAATTAATGACTTGTAAGAAAGACTAAAATTCCAGAACTGCTCTGTGTAAAATTACCTGCAGATAACTATTGAATTTGCAGAGGTTTATGAAATACTCTATTTCATATTTTTCTTTGCCCAGTCTATAATTATGGTAGGGTGATTTATTAATATAATATCTTCTGGGAGATGGGTGATGTTCCTTTGCAACCTTACCATGTCACTGAGGAGCTGGAATAGAAAGTGTAGTGCCAGCAGTTCTCCCCTCTCTGCCTGGAGGTGCAGGGACTCCTCAATTGTGGAGTTTATCTTTACCTTCTAGTAATGATATTAATCACAGGGAGTGTTCTCAGGAGCCAGGGTATGATAAAGTAGGATTTGAAAATATTCACAAGAACTGAATTTTGAACATATTTATAGCTGAAGTCTATCAGCTATAAATAGACGAATCCTAGATGGGATTTCTTCAACTGGAAAATGGAAGCAATGCCACTATACCAGCTGATCCATGCAGTTACTCAACACAGATTTGGTGTAAGTTTGTAAGTTTGAAACTTGCAGGAAGTGTCCTCAATGTGCCTAGAAAGCAAGCATTAAGTTGGTGAACAAAATTTGAGAAATAATTTCATGTACATAATAAAAAAATCAGAAAACTGTGTTGAGCTCTGGCTGAAAAGTAAGAAAAAAAGGCAAAATTTGTTACTAATAGTCCTACCTCTCATTCAAATTTCTTTCAGAAGTATGTTCAGAGTTGGATAAGTGTTTGTTCTGTGTACTTAAGTGTATATATATATGTATATGTGTGTGTGTATATATGTGTGTGTGTGCCTCTGTACACACATGCCTGTGTACAAAGTGAAATCCCAGCCCTGTTGAGGTGAGGTGCCCTTTTATTATTGAATTCAGTGGAAATAGGGCGTTGGGTTTAAATGATGCTTCCTAGCTTCCTTCCTGAGAAAAGAATTTATAAACAAGTCATGATGACTATTGAAAATTACAGCTTAACTAGTCACAATTTGGTGTTTTGATTGGATTAACAGATATTGATGAGTGCGAGAGAGGAACTCATAGTTGTAAAGTAAACTTCGTTTGTCAGAATACAGAAGGGTCATTCTACTGCGAGTCAAAGCAACGCTGCATGGATGGTTTTTTACAAGACCCTGAAGGAAACTGTGTTGGTAAGTGTGACCTGCAAATGTTTGTAATATGTGCAGCAGTACTGGCCAACTCCTGTGCCTTTTAGCCTGTCCAAGGGGTGCATATTGACTAGATGTAATTTTCCTTAAATCCTGCTGTGAATTTAATTTAAACATTGCAGTACTTTTAAAATTATGCATACTTGCATATTGAATTTGAAAGTGTTCCCACACCAGACCTTCTTCAGCCTTATCTTTGTAGCACACTAAATTGATGTGAAGGAAAATAAAGTGACAACTGGAAGAAAACAGACCAGAAAGGTTAAATGGCTTCCCTCACCATTCTAATTCTTTTTTTTTTTACCAGATATTAATGAATGCACATCTCTCCCTGAGCCATGTAAACCAGGATTCAACTGCATCAATACTGTTGGGTCTTATACCTGCCAAAGGAATATGCTGACGTGCAGCAGAGGCTACCACTCCAATGAGGAGGGAACTCGATGCATTGGTAAGGTCAGACTTCAGTCTGGTCAGGTGCCCTCTCAGAGGAAAAAGTATATTTCCATTTTAAAAGAGGTTTTGAGTTACCTCCAGATTCCTAAATTTATTTGAGGAATGGAATTTACTGTATGCATTTGGTGTCCAAGCACCTCAGTGGTTTGTTTGCACTACAGGATGCTGCACTGATGCCTGACTGCTGCTCGGAGTTCTTCTGGGTGCACTGGGTGACACTGGTTTGGACTGCATATGGAATTTACTGGCTGTCAGTCAAAACCATGATCCTTTGCTATTATTACTGTATCTCACTGTAAGTGATAAGATCTGAAGCCATGGGATGCAGCATACGAGAACCACTGAGTTTTTAGGCTCATGAGAGTGGTTAGTACCACCAGTTCGTGGATGTTCTTGGTAGCGCTAGGAATGGTGTTCCCCATTTACATCCAGTTTTGTGTATGTTGAGGATAAATTATTACTTTTTTTGTGAAAAGAGTGTTGAAATATTCATATAGGCTGGCATGCAGCTTGATACTGATTTGTATTTGTTCCAGTGTGTTTATGGAGTTACTGAATCAGAATAGCAGATTTCATCTCTTATTAGCATTTGTTCTGTAAATGAGCACACCAGGCACAAAGGAATTCAAAGCTTGGTCCTTGGTGCCCAAGGCAAGGCTGGTTATGTGTTTGTGGTTTTTTTTTAATTCCCTGTGTTCTGTGTTACACAAAACAGGAAATTATAAAACAACGGCAGAAAAAAAAAGAAGTTACTAATCAGTATTTTGGTTAGTGATGATATCATCATAATTCCTACTTACCTTCCCTTTGAATAAAAGGAAGAATGACAAATTAAACAAAATATGCTTTTGTGATGCTACAGGTGGATCGAAGCCGAGTCGGTCATGACTAGCAACTTGTAGCAGAAAATAGCAGTATTACTAGAGGATCCCATTTCCACACAAATTTCCTCATTCTCCTTTTTTGCTTTTCGTTACCCCCAGGACTATCCAGGCTATGCTGTGAGAAGGTGGGGAAGATTTGGAAGTAACATAAGATGAGGACAGTTTACGTGTATAGCTGAGGCAATTGAGAAAGCTTCCTAATACGGCTCTAGGGAGTTGTGTTTCATGAATATTGGGCAAAGTAGTGTAGTCTCATTTGCTGTCTTATTATATAGCAGCCTAAAGTATTTTGGCTGCTACAAAGGGAAGCTCCAAAAGTCCTGTCTCTCAGTTGCTGTGAAGACACACTTCTTCAGCTGGTTTCAATCAGTCCTGTTTCAGCAGAGTCACCTGGGCTGGGTACGTTTGAACCACCTGAGGTGTGGTGACCTTGGTGGTGTTTTCAGGGTTCCCACCATGCCAGCATCTCCATGAATGCTGGTTTTTTTCCAGTCAGCAGTCATCACTGAGCAGCTCCAAAGACCTGACTGTAGTGCTGACAGCCTCAGATTTCCAGCCGTGCTAATGGCTAGGGCAAATTGTTTTCCTAAATTTCAAACTGGTGATTTATAGAAAGAATCCAGCTTTTTTCCCCCAGTTGTTCCTAAAAGAGAGTGTCTGTGTGTAAATATGTGACAAAGGAGGAGATTGCCATTATTCGTGCAGCATTTGTATCTTTAAAGCATGATGAGATAACACAATGTATTGTAATTACTGATGACACTTTGTCTCTAGTTTACATGATTTACAAGGCTTTTAAGGAGCAGGTATAAGGAAGCTTCTCTAGTTTGATTTTGGGAAAACAAATGTTTAATATTAATCAGTGATTTGTCTGTCTTCACTGTGTACACTCTGTTTGCAGTCTGTACCTTTTGGTATTTTTTTTGGTATGACTTTCTTTAAGTAGAGAGAGAGCATGGAGAAGAAAAAAGAAAAGCGTATGGTCTTGATTTCCCCTCTTTATGATAAAGACTAGTTTCTTTAAGGCATTGCAATAGCTAATTAGATTCCTGATTCAGATTTATTCGCAGTAGTAAATATATCATCTGCACATGTTTCTCCAGAAGAACTACACTTGTGTGGTCATCTTCTCTGTCTAGAGGATTCATCTCTCTTTAAAATGTTCCTATTTTTGGATTTAGTAAATGAGTTATTAAAAACTGCTTCTTACATTTAACTGAAAACTACTGTAACTTTTGTGAAATATAGCACACCTCTGATGGTATCCTGCCCGAGGACTAATTAAAGTCTGAACACAAGGGAATGTATAATTTTGGGCAAACTAAGGAAACAGTTGCACACATGAGCTCATTGCAAATAAAACTGCTACTTTGCAAATTCGTATCTGCATTAGAAACTTCCTTGTTTTGTTGCTATCTCTGATCTTAAAAGAAAATGAGGAGACAGCAGAACACTGTGAGCCTGTTGGGAATCCCTTGCTTGGCAGGTGGCATTCACTGCCATCCCTAACCCTGGTGCCAGCAGGGGCTGTGTAGGTGGAAATCTGTGCTGAAATACTGAACAAATTATTTGTCAGTGCCTCTCATCAGAGTGGATATAATGTCCACTTTTCCAAATCCAAGTTTCTGTGATAAGTAACTTGTTCTTGCTTCCCTATAATTTCTCAGCAAGTGACTGCTTTCTGGAGCACTCACCACGGCTGTTGTTTGGTGGAGAACTGCCCAGGAACGCTTTGAAATTAAATAGTGCTCAAATTTGTGACTTCAAATAGAGCAGTGTGGAGAACCCTCAGAACTACCATCTTAATTAATATTACATGAACAGGGATTTGGGTTGTAAAAGTAGTTGAGGATGTGAATAATAGGAAGGAAGCAGGATCTGATGGCTTACGAAGTGTCAGAACTCAGACTACTTGAAGAAATATGTGTTTCTGAGGATAAATCAGACTTTTTTATGCTTCTTGTCACAGATGGTAACAGGGATTTGTTAGATACTGATGAGCTATTTAGTCATGTTGCAAGTCTTGTAAATCAGCGTGTATTGAAAACTCTCATCTTCATCTGAGGATTTTTAAAATGAAATTGGAAGTGATGCATATGACTGGCAAAGCAACTAATTTATTGGTATGGGATTTTGGATGAGAGGCCATGAGGAATATCAAAATGTGAGTTGATTGGGAAAAGAAAAAAGATCAACATTGCAAAAGAGCAAAAGGTAGACAGCAGAAGCAAGATTGAAAGGGCAACTGGAGATGAAAATAGCAATTGCTTTGATTGAAGGGATGAGCAGAATTTCTGGCTCGTTCTTGTTTTGCTTTAAACGGCTTGCCGTGACTCACGTAATGGCAGAACATCAGAATAGGGTGTTTAAATGTCATGGTTTGATCAGAATCAAAATGTGTTTACATTGAAATGCAGAATATGCTGGGAGAGCTCCATTGCAGTTGCAGTTACCATTTTCACTTTTAAGATAATGTATTGCCTTTCAGAAGTTTGACTTAGAGATATGTAAAACTGTCTCTGAGAAGAGCACAGTGGGAAATGCTGATATTCTTTGATCTGTCCAGGGGACAACCCTAACAGTTTCTATTCCTGTTATTTAATTAACTTATATTTTTGTCTTTGTCAACATTGATTTTCAGCAAACTATGTTTAAACTAATTGCTTTCTCTGGTTCTGCAGATGTGGATGAATGTCAAACTGGTGTACACCGTTGCGGCGAAGGGCAGATTTGTCATAATCTTCCTGGGACTTATCGCTGTGACTGCAAGATGGGCTATCAGTACGATGCATTCAGTAGAAGCTGCATTGGTATGTAAGGCGCAAGACGAGACGAAACAACTGATTGATCGAGCCTTGGACCTCAAGGCAGTATTTAACACCATTGTAGAGTGCAGTTATTAGTTCTGCAATGCAGTACCTCAAAAGATAATGGAATCACCTCCAAAGCAGCTGTTGTTCAGTGTGACCGGCCATTTAGAGCTCTGCAGGTCTGTGCTATGGTTTCGAATCGAGTGCCCTTGGTTTAGTTTAGCTGCAGGTTATCGATTAAAGTCATCTGCAGAGTCTTTTCCTATGGGTTACAGTTCTGCTGCTGTAGAAATTTATCTTTCTGAAGATTTCACAACTTTCTACATAAGAGACTATGATACAGCATTTTGTATTTTATTGCTATTGTACACCAATTAGAGCACAAAGTCACAGCATAAAAACTGAGGTTGCAGCATTCATGCTCTGTAAATCAATCTCTGACACCTTTTAAAATATCCTCCTGCATCTTGTTTGATGCTTTTGTTGCTAAGTTGATTGTACATTTGCTTGTTCTGCTGGCAGATATAAACGAGTGCTGGAATTACCCTGGACGCCTGTGTCAGCACACGTGTGAGAACACCCCTGGGTCCTACCATTGCACTTGTTCTTCTGGTTTCCGCCTGTCTTATGATGGGAAGCATTGCGAAGGTACCGGACATTTTTTCCATGAAGGAGAAATTGCAGTGTGAATTAAGGGACCTTAGAGAAGGAGTTGAGGTGAAATGTAAATACAGTAAACCCATGATTTATCTATGCTCAAATTTGCAGTTATTCAATTGAACACTCAAGCGGTCAGATGAGACCCAACATGTTTCTCTTCTTTCCTCCTTTCCCTCACATACTTTTTCCTTCCAGATAAGAGAGAAGGAGAAGATAATAAAGTTAGAACAGGAGACTTTTCTATCAAGTTTTAATGAAGATGAAACTTAGTAGTGACAAAACTTGAAAAAATAGTCTTTTAATCGAATGGAAACTTTTAAAATTCTCCATAATTTTTTTAAGGCAACAATTACATATTTTTACTCAACTGTAACATATAAAGCCTGAAACACATGTTTGCATGTCTGTGTGTTTTCATTGACATATACAGAAATTAAATTCAGGCACAACAGACATCTTCACACTTCTAGACATTCTGCCTAGGGAGCAGAAACATCTTCTTGGGACAAATGAGTCCATTCTTATTCACTGTGACCAGAAGCATCTGGTAGTTGTTCTGAGAGGCAAGAAATGATGGAAGATTCTTCTCTGAACCATTGTGGCCATGTCTGTGGGTTTGTTTTCGAATACAGATGTGAATGAATGCGATACCAGTCCCTGCAGCCAGGAGTGCGCCAATGTTTACGGTTCCTATCAGTGCTACTGCAGGCAAGGTTTCCAGCTAGCAGAAGATGGGCATTCTTGTAAAGGTAAGGTTGCTGCTTTGTCAGGGCAAGGTAAATATGTGATTACCTTTTAACAGTCAGTGCTGTCAAACTCTCAGCAGCACCTAATGCTGCAGGTGATGCCTAAGGATGGTTGTGAGTTAGATCCTAGTGCAGAGGCTGCAAAAGGTAGCTCCAGCTATGGGAAAATGCAGTTCATTTTCATGCCTCTTAGCCCTAGCTGGAACATGGTTGTGTGACTATAGAACCAGTTTTATTCTTTCATGAGGTTAGAGCTTATAATTGGAAAACTTAAGAGGGAAGATATGTTCTCCTATATTGCAGTAACTAAAGTCTGCACTCAGCCATAGTTGAATGAAGGCTTGCTCTTACTTCTGCATGTGATGGGTACATGAGAAGAGCGATCACCATGGAGAAAGAATTTTACCTGTTTTCTTCAAGTTACCAATACTGACACATTGGAGATTCTCTGCTTAAGAAATGGTGAAGAAACTCATGTTCCTAGCACAAGGAAGCCCCCAAAGCAATCCCAGAAGAATTGCAGAGGTACCAGAGAGAGGTTTTTCAAATTCAGATGAGCCCTAGTCTTGTTATTCTTTTCCATGAGTGCATACTACTTGCAGCCAGTATTTTTGGGAGGAGTCTTGTGTTCAGCATTTCAGAAAGCACTTTTGACTGTCCTAGAGCAATGTCAAACCTTCATGGTCGCATTCTGGTTTAATTAAATATTTAATAATCTTGTTTTAATAAATTATAAGTGTGTCAGATAAGAATTTCCTTGTGTTCTACAGCCTCCCTTATTTCAGTTTTTCTTTTTTTTTCATGTGTTTGTAATTATGCTTTTTTTCCAGATATTGATGAGTGCACACAGAGTGCAGGCATTCTTTGCACCTTCCGCTGCATGAATGTTCCTGGTAGTTATCAGTGTGCTTGTCCTGAGCAGGGATATACCATGGCAGCAAATGGAAGAACCTGTCGAGGTAATGAGGTGTTTAGGAGCTGCAAGGATTATGTCATGAAGCTTTAATCCTTGGAATGATCTAGGCCATTATAGTTATTCAACCAAGTCTGCATGTTTTCATATTTTATCTTAGTCACTGTTAAAAAGCAAGTATTTTACAAAGTTGCCAAATATTGGTATCTGCAATGTCAACTTTTTCCTGTGTTAGAAAATGTCAATGTGAGCTAATTGTTTAAATTAATTCCTAAGGGAGCCCACTTCATCACTCAGACTGGGGCACATGATTACTCGCATGAGCTGTGTGTGCACCTTGGTACAGCAGAAAGCGATCTGGTTTTTCAGAGGTGCCTGATGTAGAAATCCATGGCTTCCTTATGAGTTGCAGTGTCCTGCCCCAGAAAACTGGGAGAGTGGATGTAGGAGCTGCAGTGGGGGCTTGGACATCCCCAAGTCTGGCATCTAGGCTGTAATATTGATGTTAGTAAATGTTAGTGTAAATGATACGTACCCTTCCCACACACACCTATTTTCTCCAGAATCATAGAAATGTCTTCTGGGTGTCTGGTGTTTTTCATATGGTGCACAGCTGTCTGTTTTTGATGTAAAAATCCCCCGTTTCCAAAGGATGCTGTGTAATGATGATTGAAGATCTGATTACCTTTGCGTACTCTACATGCATTAACACTAACTACGCGGCATTTCCTGCTCTTAGATTTTCAGAAACTCTTCTCATAACTTTTGATTATATATCTCCTATGCTTAAATTCTTATCTCAGTGGTAACTGCAGTGAATTTACACTGTGTAAGTCATGAGTGGCATGAGCATACTTGGTTCTGACTTTGGTGCAGAGAAACTGAATGACAATTTAAAATCTTTCCAAGCTTTTTTTTTAAAAAAAAAAGTAATTTTAAGTACTTCAAAATCTGCCTCCCAGTTATATCCACATGCATTTAATTCTTATGTCACCTCTTTAGAAAACTGCAGCTGTAACTCTCCTTGGGCTATTTTTTGTTTGTTTATGTTTTTTCCTGCTCACTTTGAGTGCTGGCATGTTAGTTACCACCTCTGCCAGCAGTGAGATTTGAGCTGAGGACACCTTCCAGAGCTGATAGTGTGAGTCACTGCGTTAATCGGCCAGCACCCGTCTCCGGAGCTGGAGGTTCCCAGTGTCCTCCAAGCGCTGGAGGTGGAGGAAGGAGGTTTCCCACATAGACCTATGGGTTGCACTTGCGTTGTTTGTGTGCGATGAAATCCCCACTGCGCTCTCGCCCTGTGTGCAGAGGGTTCGTACTGTTTATACTGGCCTTGTTAAGTGAGCTGTACAGTAATGCTCTGAAAAGCATTTAAAAATACCTGTGCCACCTGGTACATGCACCCTCCTTACAAGGCAGAGTTGGTCTCCTTGCAGAACAGCACGTGTGTGGCAGCTCTGTGTGTGGCTGCGTACGCTGGCATTTAGTCAGGCGCTAGAAGTAACCCCTGGGTACGTGCCCTTTTTTTGAGTTTGGGCAGGCTCATGTACTTAGGTCTCTCTGAAAACACGAGCAGAGAAACAGTCTGAATTGATGTTGGCTGGACTATACTCAAGATAATACAAGTTTCCATTAGCTAAAGGTCTGGCTCCAGTTGCTCATCATCTGACCAGTTCTTAAGAGTTACTGGTGGTACATTCTTTGTACGATTTTTTTTTTTCAAAATGAGTTATATCTCATGTTATAGCATCTCGACATATGGATCTTTTTGGAGAAACTGCCTATGGTATTTTGCAGCACAGCCAAGCTGGTGAAGTGAGTGCTTTCATGACAATGATTGCAATATGGAAGAAATTTTCTTTTCACCTAGGGGCACTTCTGAGAACCAGCAAGGGATTTCATTTGCTTTGATTTCCTCCTACTTCCTATTGTATACTTTTCTTTTCAAGACTTTTAAACCAGCCAGTTCACTGTATGAGATCAGTTCTCATCCCAGGGGAGTCGGGGGAGTGGGGGGGCTATCGTTTTCCTCTAAGAGTCTTTCTCCTCTGTGACAATTGGCAGAACTGCAGAGCCCTATACAGTCCACGTGGTTTGTCTGTTAGCATTTATTTCATTTTAAAGCCTCCGTGCGTTGTCTAGACGTTTGGGAGTACACAATGTGACTGTGACATCTTTGCCAACATTTTCTGCTCAAGCTGGATCCTTGTTATTGCATCTGGTTTTCAGCATTTTAAGGTCCATGGCTTGGGCTTGTGCATATATATTATTTAGGTAACCATGTTTATGCTCTAGGCCATAAAGTGTCTATGAGCTTTAAATGTTCTTTTTGTCTTCTACTTCTCATCATGAGGAGATATTTGTATTTAACTTAGATTTTCAAGAATGTGTGTCTTGTTCTAAAGTACTGTTCGTAAGTTCCCATATTTCATATAGTCAGTCTGGTGAAACTTACCTCTCCTGGATCATGCAGCTGCACAGCACTGGATACTTCACTTTGTATTTGCCTTCTGCTTTAATCCAGACAGACTTTCATGCATAGAGAAATTCTTCCCCTGGCATAGCCCAGCTTTCTCATTGCTCAAAAAGTCAGTGAGAAGTCCCTGTTGGCTTGTAAGAGAGGTTGGTTATGTTCTGATGGAATTTGTTTATTCTGGAGGGATAGCTTTTGTCAGGGTTGGCTGTGATTGGTTAATGTGTAGGCAGACACAGGACATCCCTCCATCCACCCATTACATGTGTTGGCTCTGGGGTCAGGAAGGCCTCTCTGCAGACTGGGTGATGGGGGAATGGTTGGTTGCTTGGGATATGTGGACCTTTTACAGCCTTGTCCATGAAGAAGGAGCCAATGTGATCACACACGTGTTGTGCAGTGTAGGAGGGGTTTATAGCGATGTTTATAGCCCTTTCATCAAGGGCTGTCTCTCAGACTCCGGTGCTTGCACACAGTGTCTACACCTGCACTGTCCGTGCACACGCTCTGCTGTTTGAAACCAGGGTGACGCATCCCCCGACTGCTGAGCTGGTCACTCGTGCACTGTGCTTACGTGCTGAACAGCCTGTTCAGACACACCACATGTGACAATGACTAGCTCTAAGCATGAAGCTGTGGTCCAGGGAGTATCAGTGACCTGTGAAGCTGTAAAAATCTGCCTCTCGCTTTCAGGAAACTATTTTAAAACTGTCTTCAATCAGGACAGTTGTGGGAAGCTTGCAGAATGGCTGCAGGGATGGACAGGTTGGCTGGTCTTGAGTAGTTTAGGGTTCCACTGCCTTAGACTACTGCTATCTGATTGTTTTATTTCCTTTCAGCCTAGTTTATAATATTACTTACAGCTCATCTCTGACACCTCAGGAGCAAGGGAGGACATGACAAGGGTGGCTCTGTCTAGATGTTTGTTGGTTTGAGCCTTGAATGTTTTGTTCCATTGCAGCGGGAAGCATCAAGACAGGAAGAGGTTGTGTTCAGAGAACTTTTTTTGCTTCCCATGTTTTTTCTCCACTGGGAGTTAAACAGAGTGTTGCATCAGATGTGGTTGGAGTGAGGATAGCTAGGTTCACAGGAGGGTGAAAATGTTTGCAAAGTGCAGGTAAAGAAACAAACTTCCCTGCAGTAGAAGGCCAGCCCTGGCCATGTGCTGGGTGGCTGCAACTGGAACAGCAGGAAGAGGATTGTATGCTGCTTATGGGGAATAGTGGGCTCCTTTCTTTTCTGCACCCACTGCCGAGTGGCACTGTCGTCTCTTATTAACTGATAATGTCAAGGAAGGAAATTTTTTTTCCATACGAGACAGATGAATTTTAGCAAAATTGGAATCAGGGTGATTCATCTTGTCACTCCAAATGCCAGAAAGTGTCTGTGCACAGAGGTGAACCTGACACACCTCACCTGAATGTGCATTTCATTCTCCATGTGTTTATTCTGGGGTTTTCACTGTCCTGGTCTGCAGGCAGCAGGCACCGGTGCTGAAGGGGTAACACAGCAACTGAGCAGGGCAAACAACAGCCCTCTCAGCTTGAAGAGCCAAACCCACAGACTCCTCTTGCTTCTCATGCACATATAGTCTCATAAGCACATCTTACAGCCCATGAATGGTGATTACTTCTTATTTTTTAACTTCTCATGTCTTTTTCCTTGTGCTTCTTCTTGTTAGACATCGATGAATGTGCAATAGGAACCCACAACTGTTCAGCTGCAGAGACTTGCTATAACATCCAGGGCAGCTTCCGCTGCCTGTCCTTCGAGTGCCCTTCCAACTACAGAAAAGTATCCGACATGTAAGTATTGCCATCATGACAAAGTGAGCAGTCCTGTCCAGTGGCTGTGCATGTTACGTAGTGCTTTAGTTTGCGGGTGGTTGTAAGCGCTCAGAGCTTGAAGAAGCTTCGATACCTGGAGCACATAGATTTTCCCTGTTTTTTTGTCCATTTGTGCCTTTTCCTTCTTGAAACCCTAAAGCCCCCAGTTTGCCCTCCAGCTGCTGCTATAACAGCAGTCATAGAGCCTGCAGCTCTACTTGCTTCCCTGTTCTTTTGTCTATTTGTGCCTTTTCCTTCTTGAAAGCCCTAAAGCCCCCAGTTTGCCCTCCAGCTGCTGCTATAACAGCAGTCATAGAGCCTGCAGCTCTACTTGCTGCAGCACTAAAAGGGCTCTGTTTATAATTAAGTTTTTTAAAAAGTAAGATCTTTTATGCTGCTTATATCATTGCAGTAGCTGCCAGGCTGCTCAACGTACTGCTTTTACAGTGGGTTTGGGGCTCCCCGCTTAATATTCAGGTTGCAGTTCCTCAGAGAGCACTGAAACGCTGAAGGGGAGTGGGATGATGAGCTTGCCAGGCTACAGGGTCTGGGAATGGCACAGCCCCATGGCTTCCAACTCCTCAGCAGCTGAGGCTTGGGAGCCCCAAAATCTCCCTCCCCTGCCTCAATGGTTGCCAGTGCTTTGAGGAGCTGTATTTAGCTGCTTATAACTGAAACCATACTTTTCCTGCCTTATAGAACTGAGCAGCTTTGCAAGTTGAGGAGCTTGTTCCCATTCCCGTGCTTTAGCTACCTTTTTAAGCGTGATTGTTTTTATTTTCTTGGAGCGCTGTCCCAGGGTTGTGCTGTCAGCGATGAATCCTCTCCAAGCTCTGTGCTGCTTGCAGCATGACTCTGGCTCTTCACTGTGGAGCTTCTCAACATAGCTCTCCGTGTCCGTGATCTTTTCTTACACTGCTGTACTCTGACAATTATAAAGTTTGCAAATATTTTATGGACACTGTAAGAGCAGAGCAAGCAGCTGGTAATTACACAGTTGAAGTTTGGGACTCTTGTTCATTTGATACCTTTGCAATACTCTGACATACATCTATTTTCACCTGCTGTAACATGGACACTGATTGTGCTTCATTTCTCATCTCTTAGGAGGTGTGAACGAATCAGTTGTTTTAATTATCTGGACTGCCAGAATACCCCGGTGCGCATTACCTATTACCAGCTGAACTTTCAAACCAACATCGTGGTCCCGGCTCATATTTTCCGTATTGGGCCATCGCCTGCCTATGCTGGAGACAACATAATCCTTACTATCAACAAGGGAAATGAAGAAAACTACTTCAGCACCCGAAGGCTGAACTCGTACACAGGCATTGTCTATCTTCAGCGACAAGTGAAAGAGCCTAAAGACTTTCTGTTAGATGTTGAAATGAAACTGTGGCGTCAGGGAACATACACTACTTTTCTAGCCAAAATATACATTTTCATCACAGCTCATGCGTACTGAAGCATGTATTGACATTGGATTTTATTGGTGCTATGCTCTTTAACTGTTCTACCAAAGCTTAATACTGTTGAACTGGCATTTAATGTATCTAGCCTTTATATTATTTTTCTATCATTGCTTTAAACTTTTTTATTGGTTGTGTAAATTAAGTTAATTTTTATCTTTTTTTGTTGTTTTCTTATGCAATTCTCTACATCATCATTTGACAATGAGTGAAGGAAGGGTTAGAAAGGCAGTACATACTTTGTGTTAAAAGCTGGAACCTTTTCTTAGAAATTATTTTTAGGCTTAGTCACATCTGCAGGGTATTGCACTAGAGAGGAAAGATACTCACTTGGGAATGTTGATTTTTGCCACAAAGGGAAAAGCCTTGAGGAGTTTCTCTTTATTACACAAACTTATGGTTTGGCTTAGCCACTGGTTTCTTTGAGGTTTCTCTGCGTGGGGATGCTGTGTCAAAGGCCATACCTTGTACGCTAATGGATAGCTCACCTCATATTACCGGTTTATTTTTCTCCTTCCGACTTTTATAATATATTGCCTAAAAATATATATAAATAAAAGAAAACTCTACCAGTGAAAAAGCCTATGAATGAGTCTTGCTTTAGTAGGGCTACTCATATGCTAAATATTTGGAAGACCAATGCTGTAAGAGAATGTCATGCTTTAGGTAAAAGCTCACATTGCCATTTTTAGTGGTTGTCTTTATAGGTGCTGGGATTCCTCCCTATACAGACTCATTCTGTTTAGATAACTGTAAGTGCAGATTAGATGCATTACAATTCTTAAAGGAATGTCCAAGAGGAAACACGAGGAAACATGGAAATAATGAAATAATCAATTACTGCTCCTTGTTTTAAAGCTTGGGTGTGCCACTGAGGAATCACTTGCAATTTTAAATAAACAAAAAGGGGAGTTGCGTCTCTTCTTCAGGAAAATTACTTCAGTTGTATTCCTAAATGATGCAGAGGAAAATGCTAGTTAAATTGATGGTTTGTGTTATGCCACTTAGAAAACAGCACAACCTAAGTTTTGAGCTGGATTTCCTGTAGTTCTACAGGAAACTGGATGAGGCCGAAAGCTGAAGGCCACATGTGGCAAAGCATACTATAATTGATGTGTTTGTTAGAATTTAGAAATTATTATCACAACTTCTTTATGGCTGTTTTCTTTTTTTTTTCCCCACGGTTGATCTTATTTTGACCAGTGTGTACACAAAAAAAAAATTGAGAAATCAAATCTCATGGCTTTCTAAGCCATAATCAACAACTTTATTATATTGTAAAACTTTTGTTTGAACTACATCTTAAGATCTTGTAAACACCACCTATATGGTGAGAGGGGCGATGTTCTGTATTCACTGTATCCGAAGGCCAATTTCTGCTACTTCAAGCCACTTCTTTAGACTCTCTTATTGATGCTGACGTGCAAATCTTTCTGTATCTGATGTCATAAAGTACCATTACCAGGGAAGAATAATTGCCATTCCCAGCTGTAAAGTACGAGATATCTGTGAGTTTGCATACATAAAGCTTTTCTTTGTTTTTTCTATAAAAATCATTTTGTAAAAGTGATCTTCTTCCATCCATCTTTTGTTTTCTGTAGTTAACAGTTTCATACGCATTTAGCAGGGAAGTGCCAACTGAGAAACACATGTTTATGCAATTTGTCATTTCAGTTAATGCATATCTTACAGCTCCAGGCCTGGCAAAACGAAGAGGCAGCCGCAGCGATGAGCAGGAGAGCCTCTCAGATCCATTATGCAGTACTCGTGTTAAGTGGCGATACATTTCTCCATGCCCCAGTGGGGCACATCAAGAGTCACCGAAACCCAGAGTTTTCCATCAGCATTAGTGTTTGATTGAGCATAAATGATATTCAAGCCTCGACTGTCTTTCTTGTCAGAGAACAAATGGACAAGCCATTTGTTACTTGGAGACCTTTTGCTGACTAAAACCAGTCATAGTCAATCATAGTAAAGATCTGGCAATTTATAACACTGACTTTTCATTTCCTAGACAGGTAATTGATGAAGAAAGTTGGAGGAAAGGCTTTGCATACTATTATAAGTAAAGTGCTGTGTTATAAAAAACATGTCTTCATCAGCACTGTGTCCAGTAGGCGCTCAAAAAGAAATAGTTAGAAATAGTTGCTCAGCGCAACTGGTCAAAACAAAGCAAAGGCTTATGGAAGATAATTTCACATTCTTCTGTTCCAAAAAATCACCAGAGGAATCTTTTACCTCCTACCAACCCACACTGTATTCCCTGTCAGGTTTAGGAGGAGCTGCAATGCAGGGACAGTTGGTGCTGCGTTCTTTGCTTTTTTTCCTAGGACAGTGCCAGTGACTGAACTTGAACAGAGATGTCCACCAAAGGCACAGACTTTCACTGGGTCGCAGTGGTTTGGACTGGAATTTTAGTCTCCTTCAACTGATCTAGCTCCTTGAAGGCCCAGTTCCTATCTTCAGCAGTGCTCCTTCCACTTTATTTCGCTGGCAAACCTAGACAGAGGATGAGAGTGAGCATATCCACGTACACAAATGAGGTCTCAGTGAAATGAGATCGGGCCTGAACTGTGCGTTTATGACCCCTTATGCTTTCTTGAAACAGCAATAGCTTTTCTGAAATCTCTCTTGAACAGCCATACTTTTGGGTTTTTTTTCTTTCTGTTTCTAACAAGTGAGTTACATAGCTTTTGTTTATTCTCTTAGCTTCTTTGTGGCCCCCTCCTGGCCCTCACCTGTTTGAGGTAAATTAAGAACAACCACCCAAGAACGGTGCAAGCTGATAAATTCATGAGGAAGACAACAGCTGCAAAATTAAATAAAACACTGTAGAAGACTTGGGACATATGATTATGTATGTGTAAAAACTCAGGTTATTTGTATGTTCCCAGCATTGGAAATAGCTTTTATGTGACCTGTCTGAACAATGCGTGTTCTGCTTAGCTCTGCAGATGACTTACTCCTGCTCTATGACATCTGACCTCCCTGTACGTGGCTGTTGTGTTCCTGGGGAGATTCAGTGATCCCAGAGACTGGGGAAGATCAAATGTGGCATTAGAAGGAAGAAAACCTTAAAACCTGTGTGTTTGCTGGAAATGTGAATGGGCCTACTTCAGAATGAAACATCAGGTTTTCTTTAGATTGGAATTTACATAGGATATAGTTGAAATAGCAGGAGATGGGTGAGAAATATGTTTTTACCTATTATTTTGAATTGTTTCCTTTCTACACCAGGGAGGAAGTATTTTACAGTCTCTTTATATGTAAAAAATACATATATGTGGAACTTCATTTATTTTTGTTTTTCTTCTCCTTTATATCAGTTATTCCTCAGTCTAGTGATTTAGGGCAGAAGCAGATTTCAAGCTTACAGGTTTTATGGTTTGGATCATCCTTTGAGGTTAAAGCTGTCACGAGGGACAGACTACAATAACAGCTTTAACATCAGAGCATGAGACAGACTCTTCTGCAAAGGACCCATCCAAATACCTGTGCCTGGCATTTTGCACAGGTGTGGGGAGTTCAGGGAGCAGGAGAGAAGCTGAGCCTCCTCCACGCCTCTCTTCCCTTAGCAGGGTTTGCTCCAGGAGGTTGCTCCCCTGCAGACACACTTCACCAGAGAAAGCCAGGCAGAAGTGCACCTGCCTCTGGTGACTGACTGGCATGGCATGGCAAGGCAACCTCAGTCCTGGGGATCAGGGGGTTTATGGAGCTCATCAGTTGCCTCCACATCTCCCAGCTGGTTGGGCTTTGCAGATGTACCTGGCAGCACTCAGCTTTTGGTTGCAACTGGGACCCTGGCGAGGGGCTATTTCTCCCCTGCTCCCACTGGGTCACTGCTTGTGCTCACACCTCTGGTCCCTCACTTGGTCTTGGGACTGCAGTGCTCTGAAAATCACTGCTCTTCATAGCCCGGACAGGAGTGAGAGTGCTGAAGAAGTGGCTGTGTGCATGGGATGGAAAGCAAAGGAGAAGAACAAGAAAGTAAAACAACAAAAATGAAGTAAGATTTTTGTAGTTCTCTGGCGCTGTGGTAGGTGGTTATGGTGCTGAATTTGGGTTTTTGTGTGTTCCTGATGTAAAGTATGGGGTATGTGATTAAAATTGTTCTTTTGTAAGGGGTAAGTTTTGTACTTCTCTTCAGACCTTTGCAGGGTGAGGAAGTGCTTTCATCTTGTTTGCAGGATACAGGGAATCTTTTGGGTATTCTTTGTCTCCCTCCTTACTCTCTGCAGCTCATTTGAAAGGCTCTGGCATTTCTTTCCCATTCATTTTTCTTTTCTTTTTCCCTTCATCTTTCAATTGCTCCCACCCATGCCAGGAGGAAGAGAAAGTTCTGGCTGGGGAGAATTAGGATTCTTGAGTAAAAATAGATTTTTGAGGTTAAATAAAAAGCATCTTCCCACTTTCAGTGTTCTCTGCATCACAGAGACATTCATTTTGAAGTGGCTATTGAAAAAACAGGATTTAATTATACTCAGTTTCAGTGATGTGAAACTGAAGTCACAAACTTGAGCTTTTTGTCTTCTAAAGCACAATTCATTCTCTTGCCTGTTCTATACAAAGCAGTCGGTGCATGGGACTATTCAGACAAGCTTTGCCCTTCAAGGGCTCCTGCCTGGGGTCCCCTGGGCTGTGCTGCTGGAGGAGCTGGCTGGCAGCAGCGGGGCAGCTCGGGGTCACTCCTTGTCCTGAGGCTGCCCCTGGGCTCTTCTCATTGCTGCTGGCAGTGCAGGATTCACAGAACATCTCAAGTGGGATCCCATCAGGATCATTGAGTCCAACTGCCAAATCACACAGAATCACAGAATATTAGGAGTTGGAAGGGACCTTGAAAGCTCCCCCAGTCCAACCCCTGCCAGAGCAGGACCACCCAGACCAGGTCACACAGGAACACCTCCAGGGGTTTGGATGTCTCCAGAGAAAGAGACTCCACAACCTCTCTGGGCAGCCTGGGCCATGCTCTGACACCCTCACAGTGAAAAGGTTTTTCCTCGTGTTCACATGGAACCTCCTATGCTCCAGCTTGCTCCCATTGCCCCTTGTCCTGCCGTTGGACATCACTCAGCAGAGCCTGGCTCCTTCCTCCTGACACTGCCCTTTCCAAATTGATCCCCATGAATGAGGGCACCCCTCAGTCTCCTCTGCTCCAAGCTAAAGAGCCCCAGCTCCCTCAGCTGCTCCTCATAAGGGAGATGCTCCACTCCCTCCATCATCTTTGTGGCTCTGCTGGACTCTTTCAGGCAAGAACAGTCTCCTCCAGCTGCATCCCAATGCTGAGGCTTGCTTCGCCCAGGGGGCTTTTTGGGGAAGTAGGTGACATTGTCTGCCTGTGAGCTGAGGCTCCCATTATGATGGGGTAAAGATTCCAACATGTGCTGTGGATTTTCTTTTTTTAGCTGGGGTTGGAAGGCAGAGGATGCCACTGTGGTGCCTTGCATACTGTGAAGGCAGGGATAGGAGATCCTTTGTACGTTAGCGAGTCTTCTGTGTGGTAGCCAAGAATTGTGCTAACTGCATAAATCCACAGCAGGATGTTTTAACTGCTTGGAGCTTGGGATGGTATAAGAGGAATGGTGGGCTGGAAGAACTGAATGGGTGGTGCAGGGTTTGGAGGAGCCGCTACAGCAAAAAGGGCAGTCTGCTCTCACAGACCAACACCAGCCCAGTGAGGAAGTAACCCCGGTCTCACTCCTGGTGAAGAATTGGTCTCGAGTGGGAGATCCTGCACTGAGAAGTGCCCCAGGGCCTGGGCAGTCAGCACCGGATGTCTGAGAAGGCAGATGGAAAGTAGTTCTGTCCAGGGTTTGTGGAGATTAGTTTCAGTGGTAATGGTCTATATCTAAAGCATTAAATCACATCTTGCAGAGAAATACCAAGTTTCTGAAGAGAAACACTGCTTATGGAAAGGACCATTGAAGGAGTCAGTGTTTAACAAATTGTTCCCAACAGAACGAGTGATGAATGCTATCCTTGAGGGCAGCAGGGGGGAGTGGTGGTGGGGAAGATCTAAAATCTAGTTTTATTTTGGAATAATAGCAAAACGTGCAGAGTACTGAACTCTCTGTGCCATCGTTTCTAGAAAGTAATTACAAAACAAGTTAGTAACAATAGCTGATCCAGTTTCAGGAAAATGCATCCAAAATAGAGACATAAATGCTTTGGGAGAATGGGAGGGTGGAGATGCCTCTCTCTGCATCGATGGGGGCCTGAGGGCAACACAGACTCCACTGAGCTATGCTCCAGAGAGGGCTTTTGACTCGCTGTGTTCAAAGAATTACTGGTTCAGCTAGATGCTCTGTAGAAGAGGATAGATCCTCCCCAGCAGTGGTGTCCAGGAGAAAAAAAAAGTACTTGGAATACTGTCAGTATGGGACAAAGGCTGATAATCTGCAGTGAGGTACATTTGAAGTGGATTGTTGCCATTGCTGGAGTTTGAATAACCTATATGAACAGGCTTGGTAAACACAAAGTGATCTTTTGAAGGAAACATACTGTGAAGTATTGCTTTTTTGGTGGTAACAAAGCAAATGTTGTGGCCAACAGATAAAGATCATAGCAGTGAGAGGACCTTGGTGTGAGAAGACTGCAGAGGTTATTCCCCACGTCAGAGCGTGAGTGGAACATCAAATGAATGCAGCTGGCTAGACCTTGACATTGGAGGAGGTGCCCACTGACCTCCTCATGTTGGGATGGTAAAACTCAACTCCCAGAGCCCTTTTGGGGCAGATGAGAACATGCCTTCCTATGCTGGTACTGGAGATGTTGAGTGTCCTGCAGCTAAAATGGAGCAGCTCGTACCATGCTGGTGCTGCAGCCATTGAAATGTAAAATGATCATTTTCTGCTCTTACGGACC